ATTTTTTTGATTTTTAGAACTCTTTTGTTTCAGTTTATTATAACTCTTTTATTATAAGACATTTTTGAAATGTTTACTTCATGCTTAATTTATATTATGTTATTATGTTCAATATGTGGTCAGTTCTATATCGATGTATTTCATCGCTGGTATCTCTAATTACTGAATACGTATATTCAGATATTCAGTCTAAGTTATAAGTATATTATCATAGAATATATATTMTATTCTATGATATTATGTAGGTATCTATATTATATATATTTATAAGGCTATAACATTTGGTAAATTACTAAATTATGATTTATATACATCTAACTTAATATTTGTTAAGTAAGGCATGGAACTTGTTGTGATCAATTTCATTAGTAATAATAAAATAATAAAAATGAAACTAGAGTAAAATTAATAATTTTTATAATAAAAATAGGAAATATAGCCAATGATTAAAGAGGTAGGGGCTCTATCAAAGCTCTAATAGGTTACTTTTTAGCAAAATTTATTTAAGGCTTCAGTCTCTTCAAAATGTTTGGGTTAGTTGCCGACTTGCGCTTCTGAATATTTTTGTAAAAAATTTTTATTTAGTAGTTATTTATTAGTTTGAACCACACGAATCGTAAAAGTACCTACTTATATTACTAAATTATAATATACACACATAATTTATAGGTAATTACTAATTATATTTTCAAATGAAATTTTTTCTACAAAAATGAATTTAAACTACTGTTGTAGTAGCGACATTAGTGTAGTATCAATGCATAGCTAAAAGTAAAATTAATCACTTTAATTAATTTAATCACAATTACATGAGATATTTATGTATTATTTACTTTATACCTTATAAYGAWACATTTTTACCTATTGTGTTGTAGTTATACCTATTTACCTATACACGTATGTATATAATATAATTATTAATTTTGCACACGACTAATATCTAATGATAATAATATGACGTGCGATTCGTGCGATTATCGATTTGACATTTCGGCCGTCGACAAAATGTCACGACCATCGATTCGACCATTTGTCGCTGATCTTCATACGCATGCGCGTCTAGCGCAAACGGAGACGTAAATTTTACGRGCGGCCGTGCATTGTAAATTAATTGTGCGCTACGTGCCGACATTCTAAGCTGTGCGCGTGATAACAACAACCGACGTTATCAATTTTTTTCRGACGACGTTGCGTTTTCAGCGGAATTCCATAGCAATATAGCATCCACGCACTGGAATACTGGATCGAGTGGACCGGYACTTGGGCTTGTTGCTTTTTTCGCAGTTGTCTGGGCCTTCGTCCTAATCGTTTGTTGTAAACCGTTTGGAAATGAATTCAGCGTCGATCGTATGGTTCCTGGGACTCTGTTCCACGTACGTTTCGGCATTCTACTTGCCTGGCTTGGCACCCGTGAACTATTGCAAGGAATCGGCTCCATCATGCACGGTAAATATTTTTCCCCGTAACCATTGGTTTGGATTTTGGTCGACCGAAATTTAACACATTAGAAACTACCATTTATCATCCCTCTTAAATTACCAATTAGTTTCTGTTCAACTATTTATTTTCAGCTGAAAATCAGTAGACTTCCAGTTTGTTGAGATAGATTTACCTACCCGAGACTTAAATGAAAAATGGACATGATTCAAATTTCAGCATTAGTAAAATGCATGTTAAGCCCCCACTCCCCGAGCTGTTATAGTGTTTAACAAATGTAACAAGACAACATTTTTTCTATTAATCTGTACTGAGTACCTGGTCGACCAGTATAGGTATTTGGTTATGTACTGTTTTAACAGCAACCACTCAAGAGGACTTGTATACTGTACCATTGTGATCAGTATAAATACAATCTATTTTAATCTCCTATCTTCTTTAAGATACTATTACCTTATTCACATACTGTTTATATTATTCTTGAGCCAACATTTTCAATTTTAACAGTAAATAATTGAGTAGAATGATTTAAGTAATATCAAACTATGCGACTTTATATATTATCATGTGTGAAATGCCATTCACTAACATATTATATTTTTATTCCTTCGACATAATCATCATAATCTTTTCTARGTGTTTRTGTGCTTTAAATAATTTTTTTTATTTTCATGACTTACCCAAGGTGGTTTTACGAAATAAGTCAAGGGATGTTTTTGATTTCATTTGAGTGAGCGCAGCGAGTWAATATGCCGAATGTATAATGTGCTTCTAATAATTAAAAAAATTAATTTTCTTGGAAGCTACTTTAGAGTTGTTCTGAAAATATTTTAATTTCATGTTTAGACATATTCCAAAT